AATCTTATTTTGGTAACACTTGTTGGAATACTACATTTCAAGATCAAATTCAGTTTTTTTGAATTTGGGAAGTGTATGTCAGGTTTTTCATCAGTAGTTAGATGGCATTGGTGCAGTCAATAGGATGAACTTTAATGTTTAATTTTTTTTAATTCAGAAGTTTAGACTGCTTGAAATTTGAACATTCATAGTCAAATCTTTAAAATGACAAGATTATAGTAATAACATTATTATAAATAATATGTAAAAACTATTCAAGTCTAAATCTTTGAAGTCTAATTTATATAAAGTAATTAAGATGTATAAAATTCTTGAATACAATTTCTTTTCAATAGTGTTAAATTTATAAATTTAAAATTAATATATCTTTTTGTTCTATCAGAATAAGTATATGCATGGCAATTATACATATAATACAATAGTAATTAAAGTTTAAATCTTTGGAGTCTAATTTATATAAAGTAATTAAGATGTATAAAATTTTCTGAATACAATTTTTTTCAATAGTTTTAAATTTGTAAATTTAAAATTAATATATCTTCTGTTGTATTAGGATAAGTGTATGTATGACAATTATACACATAATACAATGCCAATTAAAGTCTAAATCTTTATAGTCTAATTTATATAAAATAATTAAGACACATAAAATTCCTGAATGCAATTTTTTTTTAAATTTAAAATTAATATACATTCTTGTTCTATCAGAATAAGTAATAATTATATGTATATATAGCAATTATATATATAATAATGACAATTAATAACTTAGTCACATGCATAATCATACCTGAGAATAACAAGATAATTGTATATATATTCTAAATTTAGATTTTTCTTTAAATTAATTCATATTCAGTTAGTATTATAATTCGATCGAATTTTATACAAAATCTATTCAGCTGTTATATCTTAAAAATTGAATATAAAAACATCAAAACTAAAGAATAATTAGATATTAGAAACACAATTATGTGACTTATATAGATAATTATAATGAAATAAATGAATCTTTATGTAATCATATATTCAAAGAATAATGTATCATAAAATAAAGATAATTATAATAAAAAAAATATATATAAAGTGTATTTTTTGATCTTAAATAAAATTCAAAAAATAAATCATCTAATAAAAGCTGAATAATTTTCATATTTATTTGTCTATTCTATTTTTATCAAAGTTATTTATATCTAAAGTCTTTAAACACAATCATATTTTAAACTTGTAAATTAATCAATCTTTATCTGAATTAACAATCTACATTTATTAATAAGAAGTATTAACAATATACTTTTTCAAATGCATTATTTTAATATTTCTATTAACATTATACTTAGTTTTTTTATTTTCTATATTTAAAAATCAAAAACATTAAAAATAAGTGAACATATTATGTCTCAAGATAAATTATATTAAATTATATTTAAGAATGTATAGACTTAATTTGCTTTAAATTAGTGTTAATATAACAAAATACATATTCAAAATTTATGCAAATAAATCTAATCAATTACAATACTTTATTAATAGAAGCTCAAAAATTTTTCAAAAAACTATTCAAGAAATTACTCAAGAAACTACTCAAGAAATTATTTAAATTACTAAAAGAATATATAGTTGTTGCTATATTAACAAGACAATTGAACACTTTTATTGTTCTAGTAATAACAATATTATATATAACCAATATGCTAAAAAATTGAAAAATAAATGAAAAAAATAACCAGTTACATCAAAAAAAGCAAAATGAAAAATAGTTCAGAACAATAACTTTATCTTTGATAAACTTGGTATAACTATCCTATCAGATTTTGATACTATAATTTTTAGTGATTTTAATAATATTGTCTATGATAATCTTTATAATAACATGCCTACTGATTCTATTACTATTGTATCTAAGTTTTTTAACATTATTGCAAAAAATTTTGATAGCATTACCTTTAATAACCTTAATACTATTATCTTTAGTGATTTTAATAATATTATCAATGATAAAGGTAAACATGATGACCAATATGATAATAATTTGGAAGTGCTGATATATAACTTAGATGAAGTGCATGAAATTATTGCTAAAAAATTTGAAGAAACAGAAATATTTGATAATCTTGTAAAATTTATTCTTGAAGTTGAATTAAATCATGATCTTCTTGATAAATTCTTTTTAGATTAACAAAATTTAATCAGCATAACTGATTTAAAATTAAATGAACTAAGATTCAGACAACTCACATCTCTACTTATTGTATTACTTGAATCTGGATCTGGTTATTATTAGGAAATTAGAAAATTATATTTAAATAATAAAAATAAAAAATTTTTTAGTTTAGCTACAACATATCTTGGTTGTACAATACAGGATGATCAAGCCTAGAAAAGGCCAAATGATTAGCTACTCAAAAGGTAAAGTAAGGCCCAAATTTCTATCAAAAAACATTAATATATAAAAAAGTATTAAAATTATTATAAATATAGAGCAGCAGCATGCTATTATTCAGAGAGTCATCAAGTAGCATATAAAAAGCCAAACTATTACCAAATTGAATTTTCTACTAAGACAAAAAAGAAGATTAAAAGTAATATTTTATTATATAATCTAAGAAATATAGAAGTTTATCAATAATTCTATAAAGATGATTTTATAAATCCAAAAATTCATACTACCAAGCAAGTTTATTACTGAGTATCAGAATATAGTAAAAAAACCTATATGATGAATCAAAGTAATCAGTTTGTGTTAGTAATACAATATCTTAAATAACTTGAATTTAAAGAAAAAAAGTTTAAGATTTTTAATTATCTAGAGAATAATTTTGTCTGTAGTCTAAAGTTTTTAACTCCACTGCTCCAATATGTTGGAATTGAAAATATAACTGAAATTATTATAGATTCCATTTTTAAAATAAACTAAGAATAGTTTGAACTCTTTGTAATGAATGTAAACTGTAATGAATATAGCATACCAATAGTATACCTGTACTTTTTTTACTTTAGATAGTAGTAAAGAAGTTTGAAATAGCCCAAATAATTCTATAAAAACATAAGTTAAAGTATTAAAAATGTTTTTTACTAGTCTTCGATAAAAAAGGTTAAGACCAGTATTTATTTTAACAGATAAAAATACAAGTAAAATAGTTTCAGTTAAAAAGGTATGATCATTAATATCCAATATTTAATTTTGTTATTGGCATCTTGAGCATGCTATTGATAAAAAAATATAAAATAAAAAAAAATAAGTTAAGTATATATTTAGCAACTAAAGTATTAAAAGCTTACTGAAAATTTGACTTTATTGATTTTTTATAGATTCAAAATGAAATCAGATCTATCTGTTCAGAAAAATATATTAAACAACTTTTAGAAATAGTTAAAAAATATGTAAATATATATCTATTTATTTCATTAAACAAGGAAACTTATCTGGATTCAAAAGAAATCTATTAGTTATATGTTCAAAAAATATATTAGTTTTGTCATTCAAATAACCTAACTAGACTATAGAATTATTTATGGATAAACTAGTATAATAAAAAAGATTAAAAATTATTTGTTCAATTTTTATATTTACTTAATATACCTTTTACATATACTATAATAATCATAAAGAACTATTAGAGAGTTCTTAAATATAATTACAAATATAATTACAATCACCTATATGTAGATTAGTTTATTCAAATTATAACAGAATAATTGATTTCCAATTTTGAAATTAAACTAGTCCAATATAATAAAAATTAAACATTTCTATCATAATAGTGTGAATTTAAAAAAAAATAGAATAAAGTAGTAGCAGTACATATTTTACTAGATGTTGAAGAAAGATATAAAATCAATATAAGCAAATGAGTATATTTCTGTTTAGCTTATTTATATAATTGTTATTATCTTTGCAAACATTTTGTTAATAAAAAAAATAAAAAACAATTTTAATCTATATTTTTAGAGATAACAAGACAACATGATTATTTATTAATTATTTTTGGTAAAAATCAAATCTTATCTATTGCTTCAATAAATAACTCTTGAATTCAACTTGATATGAATAAAATAGTAAACAATTCTCCTATGAGAAATAGTTTTTGTTTAAACAACTTGCAAGATATAATTGAAGACATGAATTTTAATCTAATAAAAAAAAATATATATATATAATTATTACAAAAAAAAATTTGATGCTGCATTATTCTTATATGATTAAGAAATAAATAATTGCAATTTTATAAATAAGTTTGATAACTTGGTAGCACTGTTTTTGAATGAAATAAGCAAATATGAAGAAGCATTGCAAATTTACTACTAACAGGGTACTTGGACATTGAATAGAAAGCTAGCATTTTGGTTACATTAATAAAAGTACTACCAACCTATGTATTTTTAGTATAGATTCATAGTGACAAATAAAAAAAAATTAGTATTAATATGTATATATATATTTAAATATATAAACATTATTATCTAATGATAAAGTATAAATTTTAATAAAGTTTAATGATTATTCATCTTTTGTTTTTATTGGTCAAATAAGATCGACAAAAGCTTCTAATAAGAATTTGCCACAAAGTGATCTATAGCACATGATCTGAATTTTTTTTGCCATGACTAAGGTACCTGTTGCTACCCAAATTTTATATGATGTGAATATGACATGAGAATATAGTTACCTTTGACCTTTTGAATGTCTACACTTATAATTATTATAATAGTATTAATTTACAAGTTCTACATATAGTAAATGCAAAAACATCATTTCTGATTCATATTTTGTGTCATTAATTAATTGATTTCAATTATTTTTTATAATAATTTTGTATATATATAATAAATTTAATTGCAATTAACTTTTTGATACTTCTTATAGAACGTTAAGAAAGTTAAACAAAACAAAACAAACTCTTTCTCGTAGATCATCAAAACAAACAAAATTAACAAAAATTTAGAAACAGTACTATAAGTTCCTTATAATAA